AAATCATTTGTAAGTTCATATTTTTTAGTGAGCCAATGTAATCCAACAATTTTTAATAAATTTAGATAATGATATAAATCATTATACCATGTACATGCTTTTTTAATTAAATATCTTGATAAAATCCTATGATAATACATATTAATGTTCAATGAATCAATTCATTAGTTTATTACATATTATAAAAATAACATACCAAATTCTACTAATAACAGCATATGCAATAAGAGCAATAGACCAAGCATGACCTAAATTTATTCTACATTTAAGAAAATGTGCAGTATATTTAGAAATTTCTTCCACTCGTAGCATAATTTTTGTAAAACTTTGTGTTCTAATCAAAACATATTCTACCATTTGTTTGCTAGGTAATGTAACATACTTTTCATTTATTTCAACATTATTCTTTAATTTCTCATATTCCTTTTCAAGTGATAATGATAAATATTTAAGCAAAGCTTTATTTACTTTAGACATTGATTTGACACCTTTGTCATTTCGAAATTTAGTTTTCATACGATAAAGCAATCTACTTAAAATTGCTGCTTCTTTATGCAATAATTCTTGAGAAGTTAAGTCCTTTATGATTCTATTTAACACCAATAAAAATTTTTTTGCATCTAATAATAACAAAAAATTATTTTCACTCATTAAATAAAATATTTGTTAAATTCATATTTCTTAAATTTTCTTCTATTTTAAATAAAAATAAAATTAAACTTACCAAATATTTTATTGTCAATTTGACAAGTTGCATTTGGAGGTCGTTTTAATTCTATGTGATTCCATATTGCATCCATGCTAATTACTTATTTTAAATCTAACTTATTTTTAATTCTAATTATAATATAAACATATAACCTCACTTTTTATACATATACGCATATATATATATATATATATATATATATATATATGTATATATATATATATATTATGTATATATCATACAGAAACGAACCAATTTATTAATAAATACTTTAAATTTAAATTAAATAAATAAATTAAATACATTGCCACATTATGGACGACAATATACGGTTATTCCTCGAAAATCGGTAGGTGGAATAGGAGTAGGTCGACATAATACAGGAGAATTTGGTGGAATATCTATAGGAAATAATTTATATACTCCTCGATAACTAAAACCTCCTTGTATAATAGGACGGTACATTAAATTTGTCCATTCACCACAATATTGAGGCGAATTCACAGGTTGTTTAAATCTGCAATATATAATTAAAGTATATCAGTAAACGAGCAAACATTTTAAAATTTTAAATTATTATGAAAATTTGTATTATGTTAAGATTTAATAAATTATTATTAAATTCTTACCTGACAGCCTTAATTGATTCTATTTTTGGATGATATGGTTGATTAGTTCTATATTTTTCAATATTTAATAAGGGCAAATTACATGTTGTTATTGTGCAACTGGGTCTATCAAAATGAAATAATGGACAAAAATCGCATATTTTTTTGGAATTATAATATTCCATTCTGCAATTTGTTTATTTATAAATGTAAATATAAACAAGAATTTTTCAAATATAAAAATTAATTGAATATAATTAAATATAAAAAATTAATCGAATGAAACAGCCATTTTGAACGAAAAAAACAATATATAATAACGACATTTGTTTTATATTTGAATATAAAATGTGTACAAATATTTATAATTAATCAAAAATCCAAATTAAATAATATTAAATCTAAATGATAAATATTTTCTTTATGGATTTATTATATAATAGACATATGATAGAAGTTTGTATAATTCAACAAGCATATGAGAAGCAAGGATAACATCTAATTGTTCCCATATAGAATAATCCACCAGTAGTAACTGGTGCTCTATAAACAGGTCCGACTTCAAAAGGAGCAGGAACTGGCTTAGGTAAAGGTGCGCAAGTAATACATGGACGACCTGTGCAGGGCGGGCAAACGAAAGAACGTGGGGCGCAAGGTAAAAGTGGCGGTTCAGAAGGACATGGCATACTGGTAATTGGCATAGATGGGCAACAATTATTTGGTTCCAATTTGATTGGAGGAGAACATGTATAAGTACAAATTGGTTGAGGTGGACATGGCGTAGAATTTAATGGTGGACATTGTGGATCCATTGGTGGGCAGCAACCGCAACTACCATATATATATATATATATGTATATATATATATATATATATTATATATATATATA